TCCCATATGAATTTGATCAAGGTCAGACCGATAGTTTTTGAGTTATTCTTAATAACTTATATTGAAGTCGGCTGTACAATATTTTAAATTTTAAATTATTAAAATAAAAGTAGCCTAAGTTACTCTTTATAAAAGCCTCAAGCCGATCAAGAACCTTTCCTCCCCATTGGTTGTCGTTGCTTCGAGCTATATGGTCTGTCCATTGCCACTTCAGCTTACTGATCCGTTGGTCTATGTCGGCTACTCTGGTTCTACTGCGGATATCCTCGTTTTTTATCTGCCGACTTCCAAAGGAGACGGTACTCAATTCAACTGTATGTTTTTTTATGTGTTAAGTGAATGTGAAAGCTGGTACTTCTCGTGTGGTCCCATATGACAATTTGATCAAGGTCAGACCAATAGTTTTTGAGTTATTGTTAATAACTTATATTGAAGTCGGCAGTACAAAATTTTTAATTTGAAATTATCTTTTCTCCATAGCTCGCTGAGCGTCCTTGAGCCTCCTCACACGGCCAGCAGTGAAGGGCCACTTCTCAGATACATTGGTCATACCTGGCAACACGCTCTGGTTGTACAATATTATTTTGAAGTTTTGAGATAATGCGTGACGGCAAGATGTTGACGAGTTAAATCCGTCGATTGAACTATCAGTCGAAGTTGGACTTACCTAGTCGGACTATTTGTCCCAGGTAAACTTGCTTCCAGCAACTACCGGCAACTTTTGTTTTGTCCATGTTCATCTTAAGACTTTTCCGTTGGGAGACACTATTGAGGTCATTGAGTATAGTGCTTAGATCTTCCAGCGATTCTGCCATAAGGACTATATGGCCGGCAAATCGAAGGCGAGTGATGTACTCGCTATTAACGTTAATACCGTATCCTTTCCAGTCCATTAGCCTGAAAATGACTTCCAATGCAGCTTTGAAGAGTTTTGGGGAAAACGTAAACGTATTTTTAGATATTTCTTATAAGGAAGAGAAAGATTGTGAGGCGCCTGATAAGTTATGTCAACTACCTAAGTTGTTATTGTACTTAAAAATACTACTATTATTTTAGCAATAAACTCTTAATTTTTATAATTTTCTTTTCTTTGTGTCACTTAATAATTAGTTATCTACGGTAAGATATACGCAACCGGAATCTCAAGACCTGAGTACACATTTCTAAAGTTGTTGATTGCAGTTTAACATTTTGATTTATTACGTGTTTTGCAGCGAATAATCTTATAAACATATAATGGATCCGTATATTAAGTATACAAATAAACACTTGTTTTATGTTGTTACTAGCTATTCACCGCGACTTCGTCCGCGTGTAATTTAAGGTTTTAATTATGTTGCGCGGAACCCTAATTATTTTTCTAAAATATAAGTAGCCTAAGTAACTCCTTATAACATCAGCTATCTGCCAGTGAAAGTCCCGTCGAAATCGGTCCAGCCGTTTCGGAGATTAGCCGGAACAAACAGACGGACAGACATATAGACAGACCGACAGACAGACAGACAAAAATTTTAAAAATTGTGTTTTGGTTATAAGTACCGTATATACTTTCATATGCATTTAGTAAAAAAAAAACTGTTATTTTAATATCACAAACAGACACTTCAATTTTATTTATTTGTATAGATATAGATGAAGAAACGATATCAAATATTCTAAGCTGAAAGATAAAATGATTTTGTACGCCTCACAACGTGAGGGAATGCACTACTCTCGATATGTGGCCATACCTCAATTTCGCTACATAAAACTTTTAGCTAGGCGTCAAATCCATATTATTATTAACGTCACAATAACTACAGATATTATATTATAAGATTGGTTTATTTTCTAATCTATTAACTTCATATTACATAACAAAAAATGTAATTGAATAAATATATGGACCGCCGTCCGTTGTACTGTGCGTCAGTGAGTTTTCTCGCTTAATAGAAATGTAAGTAATAGATAGAGATATATAGTATTAAATAATAAGATTCCATATATCTGACTAAATAAAAGAATTCTCCCAAAGAAGAAAAGTAATAATTCAATTATTATAGTATTTAATTAAGTTGATCTAATGCAAATATTTATACTGTGGTACGAGTATTTATCGCACGGAGCACGGAGCATTACCGCATAGAGTACCTATGGTTTACGCAGCATCGTGAATAAATTGGTCGTGCGTCGCACTAAACGGCGTGCGCTGGGAAAGCGATATAATTGCCTACAGGCATTGACTTATATGTACTACGTACTAGAGAAGCCATTCCAAACAAAAATTGTGTCCTACTCTATGTCTTCGCGCATGCGCGGGAGTAGTAGTCGCGCATGCGCGAAGACTTTAATTTAATATATATTAAGATATTAATATAAAATAAATATAACAATTTAATATAAAATATCTTAATTTAATCTAAACAAACATATTTCTAAATAAAATGTAATAATAATTATTTTATGGAATTCAAAAATCTTCAATTTACGCAATATTTAGTTTGTATGGATTGCACTACAGTTCAGTTGAACATAGTCAATGTTCGGAATGGCTTCTCTAGTACGTAGTATATATAACTCAATGCCTACAGGTCTGGGATAACCTCCCCCGGTTCTAATTACGTGATTCGGTATGTAAAGTATTTTTAAACTAATTACGTAATGGAGTAGGTTAACTATTTTGTATTTTAGCTTTATAAGGTTATTATAAACAAAAAATTAATTATTTTTATTGTCTAAACCATAGTTAATTTTTCATAGCTTTTCAAACTTTAACTAATGATGACGTCATAGAGGGCTTACCAATGAACAATCTCGCAACGGTTCCAAAATCTGCATTATAATATACCGAATTGTGTATCGAATGAAACCGAAGTAAAAACGTTATTTATTTTTAAGATATGTAAAGTGAAAACCAACCACGAAAGTACATACGCATATATTTATATAATATACGCACATAAACATACACACACTCTTATATTGCACCCGAATAGATAGACACCTTGAAGAGTGGAGACATGTCAAAATTTGGACTTTGAAAAATCGGGATTCCTACAATATTTTTCTACTGGGAAGTAAATAATTAATTATTTTTATTATATACTAAAGATATTAGGTCGGTAAAAAGTTTCTTCGTATTTTATATAAACATTTAAAAGATTGTTTTTCAGTTTACATTTAATTATAATGTTATATTTAATAAAAAATCCATTTTGTTCGATAACTTGTTGCCATCTTGTAGGTAGTGACATAATCCCGTTGCTGTAGAAATCTTGGGACTTTTAATCAAGAAAATGCGACTAGGAGTTTTGACAGTCCTCTTCCTACCCAAAGAATTCTGAAGAGACCGAAACAAGTGAAAATCTGAGGGTGCAAGGTCAGGACTATATTATGTTGGATCCATTAACACTTCCCAACCAAGCTCTTTTTACTGAGTGGCCAAAGATGTGTGTGGTCTGGCGTTATTATGATGAAAAGTCACTCCTTTTCTGTTGATTAATTCCGGCCGGTTTTTTCTCAATTTTTGCTTGAGTCTCATTAGTTGTTAACAGTAAAGATCTGAATCGATTGATTTGCCCAGCGGTAATAGCTCATAACAAATGATGTCCTTTCAATCTCACCATACACAGAGAATCACCTTATTGCGTATTAATCCACAATCTGTGGACCTTGACTACCCTTTGACCATTATCTTTTTACATATTATTGTCGTAGGTGATTCAGTTCTTATCACCAGTGATCAATCAATTCGAAATTGGTTAGTATTCATTACGTTTCAATAGAAAAACGCAAATGAGTACACGATTCATTAGGTTTCTTTCAGTGAGCTCTACCATGCGAGCTCAAATGTCGAGTTTTTGTATAGCCAGAATTTTTTAAATGGATCAAAACTATTTTGTGGCCAATCCTCAATTTTTCGACTATGTCTTAATTACTAATATGCCGATCTTGCTCCAATTTTCAAAAATGGCATCGACTTTATCCGTATGAGGGCGACCAGAGCGAGATGCATCTTTGACATGAAAATTCCCAACCCAATGAACTATGTGCTACTCTTACTAACACTGCATTAGTTCCATAAACGTTGCAAATTTTTTTCGCGGCTTGAGTCAAATTTTTCAGAACAAACAAAACTTAACAAAACTTCAGAAATTTTCGAATTTCTTCGTTAGATTCACGCATTTTGACGGACAGGAAAACAATTGAAAAACCGGCCAAGTGCTAGTCGGACTCGCGCACTGAGGGCTTCGAACAAATCCGTAAGTATATAAGTTTAATATTATTCAAAATATTTTTATTATATGATGTAACTAAAAATTTATGCTTTTCGCAATTTTTCCTTTATCTGTGCTATAATATGTTTCTTCGTACCAAATTTTAAGATTCTGAGTTCACCGGAAGTATGCTGTAGGTTTTGATTCCCTTGCGAATATCGAAAATTTTCGGCATAAACGGCTGTATCTTCTGATTGCGTTGGCTTAGACGTTTGATTTTTTCACAACTCCAAGGGACAGTAGTAGACTTGAGTATTTGATATGAATTTCAGCTTGATACCTCTACGCGTTCCTGAGAAAAAGGGTCTTGACAGACAGACAGACAGACGTACAACAAAGTGATCCTATAAGGGTTCCGTTTTTTCCTTTTGAGGTACGGAACCCTAAAAATGGCGGGAAAGTGCTTTTTAATTTTTAATTTTCTTTTTCTTTCTTTCCTATATGTATTTATGTTAAAACCAGCCAGATACAAACATAACAACCAAAGATATTTTTGTTCAATTTTATACAAACAAAATACGCAGAAAATTTTCCCCCAACCTATATTATTTAACAGAAAATACTATAGGGCTAAAATTGTCAGTAAGGGGATCAAAATGTACTTAACACTATTAATAACACAATTATGTTGATACAAATAGTTAGTCTATATTTATTTATTTATTCTTTATTGATTTCTCTATTACAAACTCTACCAGCCAACCCACGGTGTATATATATTTTTGTAAAAATTAATCAACTTACCAACGACGTCCAAACAGACCTGACTTGATCGTCAGGGTAGAGGAATATGTCAAGTAGTGCCCAGGAACCTCGCCAAACGAAGACCACGAGTGACCCGACCACCGCCACGGAGAATATGCAGTCCAGCACGTACAGCGCCATCTCACGGCTGCTCTGTAAACCACACCAGCTGTTACTAACGTCACTGCTACTGCTCCGTTAGCATAGAATAGGTAACCAGGGTAGAATAGTGCAGCCAACGGAACTATTTTCGTTCCACCGTCGTTTTTCGACGTGGTAGAGCCATGCTGCAACTATATTATGGTTGTAGCACGAATAGGTTGGCTCCACCGGAGAAGGACCACGCCATCACAGAATTACAGCGTAAAATAGCAGCTTAACACTGCTGTGTTCCGTATGGTGCGTGTAGAGAACTGGAGACCCTTTTTACTGGAAACGAGGCATTCCATCTTAGTCCTTACGGGTGACAACGCATCCGTAAAATAGCATCTTAATGCTGTTGTGTTTCGTTTGGTAAGTGTAGAGAGCCGGAGACCCTTTTTACTGGACGATATTTCATCTTAGTCCCCATGGGTAACAAGGCATCTGCCTTTTGATCCTTAATCGAGGATTAATGTGAATGTCTATGGGCCACAGTATGTTCTTACCATAAGGTAGACTGTGTGTTCGTTTATCACTCTTATTCTATTAAAAAAAAAACATTTTATAAGCCGCTGTCAACCTTAATTCTTTGTTTTTAAATTTAGTTTTTTAGTTAATTAGTAAAATTGAAGCGACAAGCGAGTTATATGTACTACGTACTAGAGAAGCCATTCCGAACATTGACTATGTTCAACTGAACTGTACTGCAATCTGTACAAATTAAATATTGCGTAAATTGAAGATTTGTGAATTCCATAACATAATTATTATTAAATTTTATTTTGAAATATAATATGTTTGTTTAGATGAAATTAAGATATTTTATAATAAATTCTTATATTGATTTTATATTAATATCTTATTTTGTATATCATATGTGCATATCAGTTTTTAATAAACTGCCTAAGAGTCTACGGGAACTTCCATTAAAATATTTTAAAATTAAGTTAAGAAAATGGCTAGTAGATAAGTGTTTTTATACGATACAAGAGTTCATGCAACATAAAACTAATGTATATGATTATTTGTAATATTGAATAAAATGTAATATAATAATAGCAATATATAATAATAATAAAATGTAATATAATAAAAAAATATAATATAATAATAATAATATATAATAATAATGATAATAAATAGGCGTAGGGAAGTGACGACCCCATCGCCCGCTGATGTAACAGTTAAGTGACAAAACTGCTATGTCAGCGCAGTCAGTCAGTGCCTTGCCAAGAGGTGTGAGTGCCGTGCCTCGGCAGTATTGAGGGTGCAAAGGCCCGTTTGTGCTTACGGCCACACTATTAAACGGCGCCGGGTCTGGGCGTCTCCCGTTAATTGACGCCCAATTTAATGGATGATGGAAGATAATAGAACGCGCATAGGGCCGCTGCCTGGGGGTCGCCGGGGCGCGTCTGGAGCTGGCGCTGGACGTGACAGCATGCGAGCCGCCAGCCGAGCGCGAGGTGCTGCACGACCACCTAGCAGCCCCTCGCGTCCATCATCCCCACCAGACGGCTTGGTGTCGGCGGGGTTCTCTCGGACTCGGCAAGCGGCACCCGCCGCTGGTGGAGTACGCCGCATGCGTTGGACAAAAAATATGAACATAAACGCATTGCGGGCGTACTATAGGGCGAAAGGGGAAGAAACTGGAGGGATAGCGTATCGGGCTCGGATGCATCGCTTTTTTGCTGAGCTTGAGCCGTCAGTTCCCGTCACGGAGCAAAACCTGGCAGACCGAGTTCGGTACATCATACGCTCGAAAATATTTGATGATGCCGAACTCGAACGACTACGACGTGAGGCTATTCCCTCATCGAATGAACCGGCTATAGCTGGGGATGCGGCTCTTCAGGCCACAGACCAGCAGCCACATAAAGAGGGCGCCATGGATCTCCCTGCTCTGGTTGATTCAGGCGATGATGGAATGGTCACCCAAGAACTAGAGCAGATGAGGAGTAAATTGGAGGAGGCGATTGTGAAAACGCGCAGTACGCCTCTCGAAAATCGACCGCGACTCCCGCGCATACCCCTAAGCAAGCGGAATCGGGCTGTCGTGAGGGCTCTCAACCCAATGCTGGTGACCTATTTGGAAGCCAGCCGGGACCTTTGCGAGACGGACTCAATTCTTTTTGGCGCCGCACTGGCAGTTTGTCGTATTGTTGGCGCCAAAATTCCCACGGCTGGACGCTCTACTAGACAAAGTAGCGCCATCCCAGCCTGGAGAAGAAGGATTGAGGACCGTATCGTAAAGGCAAGGGCCCTCATCGGCAGGCTGATAAGCTTCAGGTCGGGCAATAATAGGCCGCGAATTGTGCGCACCGTCAGAATGGCGTTTGCTGGGACAAATATCAGTTTGTCCCAGCCGGATATAACGCAAAAACTGACGGAGCGCATAGACGACCTGAAGCAGAGAATCGCTGCTTGGGGGAAGCGGATTCGGCGATATAACGAGAGGTCGACACGGTTCAACCAGAATTGTCTCTTCCAGAGTGATCAGAAGAGGCTATATAAATCATTAGAGCGACCAATGGTACGTGGAACGGGCCAAGCACCGAATCAGGCCGACACTGTCGCATTCTGGCGCGGCCTGTGGTCAGAGCCCGTAAACCACAGTGAGGGCCCTTGGACGGAAGTTGTGGTGAGTCAGTGTGCGAATCTTACGCCCATGGACCCCGTCATTATAACGCCGGACGATGTAGCTGAGGCGGTCCGAAGGGCCCCGAACTGGAAAAGTCCGGGGCTCGACGGGCTGCATCACTACTGGCTGAAGGGGTTCGTGGTGTGTCACGCTGTGCTCGCCCGACAATTTCAAGAGGCTCTTGACCAAAAGTCGCTCCCGAGCCTCTTCACTACTGGGATCACTCATTTGGTTCCTAAAGACCGGGATACCATAGACCCGAGCAAATACCGCCCCATCACGTGTCTACCCACGATATATAAGACATTAACATCCATTTTGAGCGCGAGAATCACTCGTCACCTGAACTCAAATCAGGTGATGTCGCGCGCTCAAAATGGATGTCGGGGCGGTGGTCGTGGAACCAAGGAACCACTCCTCATTGACGCGGTCATTGGCAAAGTGGTTAAACGCAACCGTCGGAACCTATCCGCCGCCTGGATAGACTACAAAAAGGCATTCGACTCGGTGCCTCATACATGGCTGAAGAGGGTCCTCGAGCTGTACAAGGTTGACTGTACAGTTAGAGAATTCCTCGGGCAGTGTATGGGGCAGTGGAGTACGATCCTTTGTCATCTAGGCGAACGGATGACGGCTGCGGAGAACCACAAGGATAAGAAGGGGTATCTTCCAGGGCGATTGTCTGAGTCCAATCTGGTTCTGCCTCTCTCTGAACCCTCTCAGTACCTTACTGGAGGGCTCCGGGAGGGGATTTCAGCTTCGGAGAGGAGGTACAAAAGTGACCCACCTTTTCTATATGGATGATCTCAAGTTATTCGCCTCCAGTCGCTCTCATCTTGTGGAATTGCTAAACGTCACTTGTGATTTTAGCAATTCTATTAGAATGGAGCTGGGGACGGATAAGTGTGCGGTCCTCCATGTCGAAAGGGGTAGGGTTGCTAACTCTGAGGGCATAGATTTATCTATGCCTATCAACATAAGGACCCTTTCCGAGGCTGAAACATACCGATACCTGGGTATGTCACAGAACATCGGTGTAGATGAGGCGGGTATGAAACAGTCAGTTTGCGATGTGTTTTATGCACGCTTGACCAAAGTGCTTAACAGCCTTTTGTCCGGTGTGAATAAGACGCACGCATATAACGGTTGGGTCATGCCTGTTCTCATGTATACCTTTGGCATACTTAGGTGGACTCAGACCGAACTAAACGCTCTGGATAGAAAAGTCCGCACTATAATGACGTCCCACAGGATGCATCATCCGAGATCGTCAGTAATGAGGCTGTACTTGCCGCGGAAGCATGGTGGGCGCGGCTTTTTAAGCGCGCTTACCATGCATAATCGCGAAGTGTGTAGCCTCCGTAATTACTTTCTGACGAGAGCGGATGATCCATACTATAGGGACGTTATTTCTTGTGATAAAGGACTGACCCCTCTACCCTTAGCCAACGAGCAATGGCAAGACCCAGCAGTACAGTGCATTTCCGACCGGGAGGCCGTATGGAAGGAGAAGGAGCTCCACGGGAGGTTCTACAAGGCTCTACATGAGCCTTTCGTAGACACAGTCGCCTCCCTTCACTGGCTACGTTTCGGTGACCTCTTTGGGGAAACCGAGGGTTTTATCTGTGCGATACAGGATCAGGTTATTAAGACCAACAATTATCGGAGATACATCCTAAAGGATGGCGCCGTCGACATCTGTCGAGCTTGTCGCCATCCCGGTGAGTCACTTAGGCATGTCATCTCCGGTTGTTCGGCGCTTTCTAACTCTGAGTATTTGCACAGACACAATCTAGTAGCCAGGATTCTACACCAGGAGCTCGCTCTGAAATACGGCCTCGTGGATCGGAAACTGCCGTATTATAAGTACTTGCCGGAAGCCCTGCTCGAAAATGACCGCGCCAGGCTCTACTGGGACCGGGCCATCATCACAGACAGGACTATTCTTGCGAATAAGCCTGATATTGTGCTGATGGACCGGGCACAGTCAAGGATATTTTTGGTCGACATTACCATTCCTTATGACGAGAACCTCGTGAAAGCCGAAACAGATAAGGTGACAAAATATCTGGACCTGGCTCACGAGGTTACCGGCATGTGGGGTGGTCTGCCGACCGAAATTATTCCTGTGGTCGTTTCTGCGAACGGGTTAATCCCAGTCAGCCTCCCGGGTTATCTGAGGCGACTGGGACTCCGTGACGGACCGCTCCAGGCTCAAATGCAGAAGGCGGTGCTCCTCGATACCGCCCGCATCGTCCGCCGGTTTCTTTCCCTTTCCCCCTAACCCTCGGCCGTCTGGTCTCCCCTGCCGAGGGCTTCCATCTGGTTGAGTTTTTATATATTTATGTATTTTTTATGTATTTATTTTATTTTA